ATTAAAACTACATCATAGGTGACAGAAATTTAGACGGATAGTTACATGTGCCAAACGGTCTGCAGCAGGAGCTGCCATTGTGGTGCCAATTTTGCTTTTCGTAGGCAGTCATGTTAAAAGTTCGAAGATGCTATGGAAAGCGAACTATTCGAAGAATTGATGTGGTTTAAGTTCGAGGGATAATGCGACAGACAATACGGGTGCTCTGATGGGAGAGCAAGACAGTTTCCGAGTGTCTTGCCTCGAAGGAATCGAAGGAACGACTGAATCAAATATGAAGCGGAAGAAACCAAAAAGTCGCTCACAAAATGTAACTACCTTTTGCGGAATCGCGACAACGCAGGAAGAAAATCTGACACAATCTTCGACAACACAACGAGTAGCACCCCGCGTATATGTACTTCCCCATCATCTCAGGAAATGACAGTAAGCTGCGCAGCACGGTCGTATTTGGAAATCCTGTACGCCGTGGCGGCTGAGGCTGAGACACGACGGTTTCTTGGGGCCGTTCCCCAACACTAGATCCCTGGTTGAACATTACCTGGGCACACACGAACATCAACACCCCTACGAGTTGAGATGCCCATTTTCCGCCAGGATCAAGTGTCTTACTACTTGTACTAGGTGTCTTTGCGTCGGTTCGAATTTCGGTGATTGATATGGTCAGAACGTTGCGACGTGGGTCTGTCGGGGGTTGCAGAGCCCATCCCTTTTTCCATCATAGTACAGGTAGAAGAGGCACAGTTACGGACAGGTGCTGATGTCAGGGGGTATGGCGTAGTGGCGAGCCAATCTCATCTCGTCAGCCCTAAATGCGGTCTCTTTTTTTGGAGTAGATTTGGGGCCGAAGTATGAAAATGTCTCGTCAGAATGCCGGAGGCCTGGGCATCCCGTTTTTGAGCTTGTTCAAGGTGGAAAGCATAAAGACTGTCATGTTGAAAATGATTGCCTTGTCCGTCTCATGTGTGAAATTTGGATCTTTAGAGGTGGTGCTGTGAAGAGATGTTCTTTGTGGCGCGGTTCGTGCGCAAAAAAGCCGAGTAAGGAACATCCAATCACGCATGTTCGTAGGCAGTTCCTGCGAGAAACACCTCCATGGCCGTTCCATTCTTCAAACATTAACGAAGTTTTTGTTATTCTCTCTAAAATCAATCAGGACCAGGGTGGCAGTTGTTTCCAGGAGCGGGTGTCGACAAGTTGACGGTCCCAAAAATAGCAAACAATCCTAACCGTAAGAACATCTAGCATCAGGAGCAATGTCCGAGCTTCCAGGCTTGCATCTCTCAGCTTGTCGATCACATCACCCTGATTCTTTACAACTCGTCACTCGCTAATATTTTCCTTTCTGTCCGTCGTAGTTGATAAGATGCGGTCAATCATCACCCTTGGCTTTGCCATTGCTGCTATGGCAGCATCCAACATTCATTTCGGAGCGACATCTGAGGACTGGAGGGCTTACACCTGGAGCTACGAGCCGGACAAAACGGCAGACTGGTACGGGAAGCATGGGAAGCCGCTTCCGGAGCTCGCGCCGGCCCTCACAACCGTCGAACAGAACAAGAGTTACATTGTGAAGCTTGAATGTGTAGGATGTCCGTTCCGGGTGCGCAGAGAAGGAGAGCTGGTAGAGACCTGGCAGGAACCTCCGCAGGAGAACTCCTTGGTACGTTCTAAGGACGAGAGTGACATTGAATATGTCTTATTCTGACTGCAAGCAGCTCATGAACTTCACGATTGATGACTCCAAGGCCAACCTCTTGCTCAATGGAGACGCCATTGCCCCCCTCGCGCCTATGCCTCTCCACATTACCACCTACCAAACACCTGCGAATCTGACCGGCGAGATAATGGGAAAGATTGAGAGTATGAAGATGCTAGACGAAAGCTGGGCCGTAGGAACCAAGTACGGTCTCTTCGAGCTGCAGTACGAGCACACGCAGCTTGCTACCGAAGTTCCCTATCAAGACTGGGTGCAGTTTGACATTACAACTATTCACATGCGTCAGACGCACAACCCGGGCAGCTACGACTTAGATAAGGATGGTCAGAAGATAGTTCAGCTTCTAGTCAGCCGAGAGATTGTCGATAGCAAGCCGACGCTCATGATCAAGGACATTCAGCTGTTGGAGAGAAAGGATCGAGCCCAGCCGGTCACGATGCCTTGCGGGAAGAAAGCCATGATCAAGACGGAGTTCAATCCGCTGCAATGGGACTACTATGGCAAATTTGGTACTACCATAAGGAAGGTGCATGTGATACTTTGGAGGACTGCAGAATTCTTTGAGGAAAATGCGCTTCCGCTCATCATCGTTTCCCTCTTCCTTGGTGGATATTCTCTTGGCCGCTGGTTATACCGTCGGAGCAGAGCGCAAGCTGTTGCGCAGGTCAAGGGCGATGTAGAGGCGGCTCGTCTCGCGCCTCCTGAGTATACCGATGAATTACAGACCGAGAATTAGGCATTAGATGTGCATCAAGAGCCGATTGAAGTTAAGGATGAAAGGAAGGGCGAGCAAGACGAGGCATCATTGGTTTGAAGCTGCAATGCGATTGCGGGTCAATACGAACGCCTCGCATATTGTATCTATCGGTTTCACAACATTGAACATCTTGGAAAAGGGCGCATACAGAGCGTTTCTGGCAATTTAAAGGCAAAGGGCGGTATTTGCGCTGTTCCTATGACACCGATCTCGACATAACGTTGTTCTTTAGAAGCTCAAATACTGTGCAAGATCTGCGGACCTGCTAATCTTCAGGAAGCGTTTTCACTTATCGACACGATTAGTCGAAGGACTCAAATTTCTCTTTGCAACGTGGGCATCGAATTCCACCCCGCGCTGTGCGAACCCCTGTCAGAAGCGGCCTCTAAGAAAGCCAAGTTGTTCCCATAGTCTCGGCGGCCATCAACCCTTGCTCCTCGATCCTCCGCGCCAACATGTCGGTTGTCGTCGAAGAATACAACCCAGAATGGCCAGAGCACTTCGATAAAATAAAATCTGAGCTGCAGTCATTTCTCGAAGACGCGGATATCATCTCAATCGAACATGTTGGAAGTACTTCAGTGCCTGGTCTGGCTGCGAAGCCCATCATCGACGTAGATATCATCGCAACAAGAGAAAATATCCAGTCAGCTATCGATGCCCTCGTAGCTAAGGGCAATTTTATATATCTCGGGGAATTGGGCATCATAGACCGTCACGCTCTATATTCCCCAGACCAGAAGCCATCGCGGAACATTTACGTCTGCGTCGATGGCACATACCAGACTAGGAACCATCTCAGTGTCCGGGATACACTTCGTTCTGATCCTGCCCTTCGAGAAGAATATGGCAGTGTCAAACTACAGCTCGCAGAGCGCGGTCTCGATATTGTTGACTATGTGGAAGCCAAGAGCAACATCCTCATAAAGATTCTCCAGAAATCTGGTGTCATGACCGAAGAAGAACTAGATGGCGTCAACGCTGCAAACAAGAAAGGCGAGCGTCATGGAGCTATTATGACCGAGCGCCTTACACTTCGAGAATTTGTGATGAAGGATGTTACTGGTTTCCATGCACTAGAATCCATTCCAGAAGTCGTTCGTTATCAATCATTTCCGCCACGAACGATGGAGCAATCGAAGAAAGAGGTCGTGACAATCATTCAGAATTCAGCGGTCACACCTCGAGAGCACGTTGAACTTGCCGTGCTACACGAGGGCAAATTCATCGGAAGAGTGGGCGCGAAGATCAAACGCAAGAATGAAAATGGAAAAGAGTTAGAGCCCCCTCATGCAGATCTGTGGTTTTCGTTTATGCCTGAGATGCATGGCAGGGGGTTTGCGACGGAAGCCATGAAAGCTTTTATCTCGCTGCTTGGTAACCCGATGAAGTTAGAGATCGAGTGCGATCCGAGGAATATGGGGAGCTCGAAAATGGCTGAGAGACTAGGGTTCGAGAGAGTGAGCTTGACGGAAATGGCATACGAGAGTAAGGAGGAGTGGGTTGACTCGCTCGTCTATCAGAAAGACGTGTAGGCAAGTTTTCTCAACTGTCCTCAATCTGGTTCCCTAGACATGCGTCAAGCTTTTGAATTCGTAAACTTTCGTAAAAATTTATACAACCTTCACTTCCATCCTTTCTTATTTCGTGCACATTAGCTCCATTACTTTGTCGCACCTAGGACGCCGCCTCATTTCCATTTCGTTAATGCCAGTAACGAGAAGATAGGAATGAGGGAAACAGGAGATATGTTACGTTTCTCCTGAAATACGTCTGGGCCTAGGTATGCCGACTAGTCTAAGAGTATTGGATAAAGTCTCCTGTTGCCATTAATTCGTCAGGCTGACGCATCTATATACCGTTGTACCAACACATCGTATAGTCTTTCTATCACGACAAAGACTATGAATCTTTCAAAATTTAACTTCTAGAATCCATATATATTCTATAGCCCGTGCCCGGCAGCGACCAATTCTCGAGTCGACATACTCCAGTCCAATCACAAGCATCAACCACGAATATGAAACGGTCGTTCAACTTTGCTTCGCCCTTCTTAGCGAGCTTACTTGCCATTAGCAGAAAGCAATATAACGATGCTGGTTTTATTACTGACTGCTGAGGTAGAGCTTAGAATGGGACTCTTACTACGCAAAAAAAGGAAGCACAAATAATATGCAGCTATATGACATCAAACAGGCATGGCGCATGGCCAAAGTCTTCATTGATCATGTCGAAACTGTCATTGGGTGCATGCAGAAATTTAATGACGACTCGTTCTGTAATACGGATACAGACCTCACAGAGATTATGGCAGCACCCGGCGGCTCAATACTCCTTGACAAGCCGGCAGACAGAGACCTGAAGATTGCGGAGCGGGCCCTGGTGCTCTCCGTCCAGGCTCGCAAGAATACGTATATAAGCTTAAAGTCCGACGTTTGCGGTATAAGGCAGGATCCGTTACTATCATACGAACAGTAAGAGCCGTTCCGCTGTGGTGAGCCTGTCAAAAACGAACAGAAGCTCATGGACCTCCGCAACGAATCTGCCCACTCCTATCGCTCCCCACCAGATCAGCGCTATAATCATTTCGATTCTCGATGGTGTTGGAGGCGCCTGGACGCTCATGTACTCGAGATCAAGAAAGATGCTAAAGATCTCGAGGAATGCCCGTACCCGACAAAGCTCAAGCTTGAAGTCGAGCAGGTAACGGTCCCAGATCCAACTCTGCCTGAACCCGAATGTAATACAGTGGATGAAGCAGGTCTCGAGGGCCAGCAGTTGCTACTGCCGCCACCACACTGGATCCGTCGCTCGACAAACCATCTGCGGTGCCTTTGGAACAACACCCTGCGACGATCTGCATAGTGGGTGCTCGACCACACGACGGACTACGACCACGGAGCGATGGATCCATTGGCAGAACTGGACCAGTGGGCCGCAAACGCGTTCGCTCTTGGGAAGGATGGGATCAACCACTGCCAAGCGCCTCCATCCTCTGTGCCGTCGTTGTCGGACGGATCTGCGCCTGACCAAGCACCTGACAACCATACGTATATGGCTTAGTGCCCTTGCGGCCGCTTATTTGCCATCAAGCCAATTGAGGATAGCCCTGATCAGACATTAGAAGTGCCTGCTGCTCCGGAAGCAGTTCAACATGCGTCTCCGGACTCAACAGAAGAAGATGCAGCATCCGTCACTGGCCTAGAGGTAGATCTCATCAGTCATCGAAAGGAAGACACGACGAACCCTCTTCACCCTCACTGGTGAAAGAGGGTGCAGGATCCAACTGATGCTTATTTTTTTGTCATGCTAGTTTAGCTTCTCTTATTAGTCAACTTTCTTGGTATTGTACGGACGACGGCAGATGATCGAGTATTTGTTGTTTGTCGGAGGTCAGCAGGAGATGAATTGTTTTCTGTAAGTTTGGTAGTCTTAAATCGAAGGTGTATAAAGCTCAGTCTTCGAAGCTCCTTCATATTCTCTTGCTACGTGTGAGTTGCACCCAGATATCTCCTCTATATTTAACCAATTCGTTAATACTACTAATACCGATACCTATGACTCGAATACATCTAGCCGTACCGGCTCATTGCGGCTACAAGCCGACTTATACATACCTCGAGCCAGCTGAGTCCTACCATCGTCAGCCCGGGATGATGAGGAGTAAGAATGAGCGCGCAGGCGTCGTGATAGCATTTCTATCACCAAAAACCGGGTAAAAACCTTGGCTCCTCATACTCCTTTCACGCTTCGGCTGTACTTCTCTTCGACTAACCTATACCACTTCTCACCGCTACTTCAGAAGCTTGGTGTCCGTCTATTCCATTACTGATAGGATGTGCATATTATCCCCGACTGCCAATACACTCTACCCGCCTTATTGTCCGTTTGTTCCGTCGGCTTTTGAAGAAAAGTCTGAACCCATTTCCAATAGTACAGCCCCATGTACTGAGAAGTTGTCCAACAGTTGGAGAAAGGTAAATTTCTAGCTTTACATCATGACTTCGGATGATGCTACTAACTTTCTCGAGCGCCGACTGACCACAGCAATGCGAATAAGGCATTGCGAAAGGAGCTGACATTTGAACTGGAGTTCTTCCAATTGTACAGTACTTGTCGAGCCGAACTTACACCACATTATAGACTCCTGTCCCGCCCTATGTCATCTAGTTCTCGTTGTACCATAAATTTTCTTCCTCAACACGCCATTGTAGCTTTTTATTCCGGATAGGGTTGCGCTATAATATCTTACCCTTCTAATTACTACATTCAAAATCGTCAAGACATACTCTCATATATCTAACATGCCCGCCGCCGCACCCCTGCGAGACGTCCTCAGTGCAGCACTTCTCGGCGGCACACCGGTCGCGGGAGTCTCTGGCGCCGCTCAGGTCTCTACCTCTTTGAGCTTTGTTAATATTGCCCTTGATCCTACCGAGAGAGTCCGAAGATCATGTCCGCTTCTTCGGCTGGATCAGAACCTAAATGGCCTTAACGTCCGGTAGATGCGGCTCATCCGAGCCATAATTTTGATGACGAAGGAGCACCTAGACGCCAGCTTGCAAGCGATAGAAAAATTCGATGACGGTTCCTTCTGCGAAGTTGACGTGGACTAGGACAAAGTTGTTGCGGCACTCGATCCGCTTCCTCTCCTAGACTATCCTGGCGACCCTCAAATAAAATTCGCAAGCGCGCCTCGGTCTTCTCAGTTTTCCACTATCGAGAGGCCTACGCTGCTATTCGAGAATTTTTGCAGCTGCTGCTCGAGGATGACACGAAGACATTCTTCACTCGCTGGCCATTTGCCTCTCGGCTCCAAGACAAGGTCCGGGGCAGACTCCGACACCCGGCCTCACATGCATATCGAGCACAACGAGATATATCCAGTACAGAGTTCGATAGCGCCACTCTTCGGCATCTCTCCCAGTGCTAGCTACCGCAAATGGTGAAGGGGTTCGGAGAGATGGAGGAGTGCGCTTACCGTACCGAGTTGAAACTCCAGGGAGAGCCGGTACTAGACTTGCCAGCTACAGATGATTGCAGTAAGAAAGGGAAGATGTTCTGCATCTGGTGGACGAAGAGGTGGTGGTAGAAGAAAGCCGCCGAATCACTCAACATCACGCAAAGAACTATCCGGTACATTATCATGACCTTCGGCCTCTGAGTCCTTCTGCGATTCAAGGCGAAACCCGCCAAGGTGTGCACAAAGCTGGTTTTGCGTTAGGAGATGCGTTGGGAACTATTCTGTTTGTGGGAAGCCGGAATAGATTGGCTTCTAGCAATCATGGGCAAGGCGCATGCAGTAGCCCAATGGTTCGTTAAAACCATGGGAGACTTCGTCCTAGATGAACCAATACCGGAGGTTACCGAGTACTAGTCCCGGGTTAGTTCGGAAGACGATATACATCCATGCATGAGTGCCAATGGCCAGACACCGCAGAATGAGATGGTAGAGCCCGTCCACGGATTCTACATTCTTCAACCGGCCACAGATGGGGTTGAGTACCAGCAGCCTCAGATTCTAGACCGGCTAGAGAACTAACGGAATCTACAGAGCATTCGACACAGGAAACTGATAGGTGCGAAGATTCCAACGAGAAGAGCGATTTAAGTGATGATTAGTTTGAACGATCTAGTTGGAATGATTCGGCAATCGAACTTAAGCGCTACGATGAGCATCAATGATCCCCGACGAGCAGGACAAACCTTCGTCAGCCCGCATTCCTTGTTTGGAGTCGTTTCGATCTTTTTCTAATCATTTTCCTTTTCTAGTTTATGATTCTCAATAGCTATGTTGACATTCACATATGAACTAGAGAAGGGGGGTCAGGCGATTCTTGTATCTGAGCTCAGAAATTAGTGAATGGGAAAGGAATTATGTTTGCCCCAGTTACTTGCTCGCGGTTGACACGGGACTACCACCATTATCGAACGGAAATGACATTTCATGAAAGCATAGAATTGTATAACAGGAATAGAAACATGAAAACTGTATGTGCGAGCTGCTCTTCTTTATCTAAGAGCTGAACGGTGAGATATACCTGCTAAGCCTCCCGTGTGGATGACTCTCAGCATTAACGGGCTTCTCAAAATGTAGGTAGTCATCCCCTTTAATGCATGTCCATCTATAATATTACGTAGAAGTCCAGGTTGCACTTGATGAGCGTTGGTGCCACGATTTCTAGAATGCATGAGGACCTAAAAGGAGAGCATGACTAGCAACGGTGACCAACATTTTTTTTTTTTTTACCAACTTTCAAGTCATCTACGCTGAACGCTAACCGCGATCTTGAAGTCTGTGAAAGATCATATGGAAGTGCTATAAGATTGCTAGTACCAATGAAACTATTTAGAAGAGAGAGGTTGAGGCTCACCATTCGAAGGCAGCGCAGCACATGCTCGAGCCAGATACTTTCCAGCGAGAGTACTTGATGAAATAGGTATGTAATGCCTTTCCAAGTTTCTCGACGCCTGAACTTGTTCAGATATATTTCCGTCGGAAAAACAGGGACATCTACCACAGCAGTCCAAATCTAAATCAGCCCCTCGTGACAAGAAATCACAACCGCCAATAGGTACCAGAAGTACCAGCTTCCGTAGAGGAAACCTCTTTTGTGCTAGACAAGTGCCCGTCTCCCTTAATGATTCCACTAAGGCGATCGACCGTACCATATATGTATATTCACTATGCAATTATTCGACATTGTATCACTATTTTATTGGTCGAGCTGTCACAAATAACTCAATATTCAATTCTCACTGGCGACGGCGAGTGCCGCTTCTCAGAAGACAACTGCACCTCGTCATCCCTTATCAATTTTTTTTTTTTTCTCGGTGAAGCTATCACGATGAATTTTATGCAATAAACCTCACATGCGGCACCTGCTTCTGCTACCCAGAAGTCAACCGCACCTCACTACTCGCTCATCAACCCCTATCCGCACCACGATCCATTTCTACTAGCATCGCTATCCATTCCTATACGCAGGGCTTCGCAGATCTTGCTTGCATCTCGGTTTTCAGACCTCCGAAGTCTACCCAAAATATTGAGCAATATCTCAAAACTGCGTGTCACTTCAGCATGTCCGGCTTCGACGCTCTGACCGAGCTATGGGCTGCCGTCACTACCAGTGATGTCCTACGCGCGGCGAGTGAGGCCCAGTTCCTTCGTACCTCTAACGCTGCGTTCGACGTTACGCTAAATAGCCAAGATCTAGACCCTGGAGAGGAGGTTAAATGAATTGGTCCTCTTATCCGGCAATCTGGAAATGTCGCTAGTCTAACTGTACTCGAAATGGAGAGCGGACTTGCCTGGGTATGAATGACGAAGGAGCACATCGAACTCGCCCTACTGTTGACGTACAGGTTCTTCGACGAGGCCACTTTCTGTGAAGCTGATGTTGATTGGCATCAGGTGATGAATGACCTAAGTCCTTTAGCTGTGCTCGATTATCTTGGAGATTCCATCCGAAAGATCCTTAAACAAGCAATTGTTTAATGTTTCATTAGCTTTCAGGAGGAATACGGAAGGGTGTGCAGCTGTTTAGTAAAGATAATAGACAAGGAGAGTAAACGGTCTAAACTGCGATAGCCATTTGCCTCGAGGCTGTGGGAAACCAAGGACTTCGGTGTAACGAGCATGTGCAATCAATGCACTCATAGCCACCGCGCCGAAGGAAATAGTTCGTAGAATTACTTTGAGAGTCAGGGGATCTGGTGCCTGCTGCACTTGTGGTTTCCCGGAATTCAGAAAGAGCTGGAGTAGATCGAGGGATAGTGCTGTCGTACCGGCTTAGCACTTCAGAGCTAGCAAGTTTCTCTTTCTCCAAAGCGCCTCGACAGGATTGAGGAGAATGACTGATGGAAGGAGGATGGGGGGAAGAATCAAGAAGAGTCGGAGCAGCCGAATCAAGCTATGACCAAGTCGCAGAGACGCTTCGGCCATTGGATTGACAAGCTCCACGCGGAACGTCAAGTCCGGTCGACCGGAAAGTGCGTGGTGAAAGCAGGTGAGAAAGCGGATAAATTATTCTAAAATTATGGGAGAGAGCAGGCAAAGGGTTCCGAAAAGGTGGGAGATGACTGCTGGATTCCACCAGGAAACTTGTGTCTGTAGAGTCAGCTGTAAAAGACATCGAGTCCTGGATTAGAGTCACACCTCAAGAACAGCAACTGCTCTTA